ATGCAGTAGATACTGTTGCACATAGAGCTTCTTGCAAAAATTTCCCACATATTGTGCATTTAGTTCCTGTGTTGTTAATAATGCCAAGCAACTTTGAGGTACTTCTGGCCCATTATATTAAACACGAAATAACAGTGGGAGGCCACATTGTTGTTGTTGTGCTTGTATCAGGGTGAGATAAAGTAACATGACTCAATATGTTAAATACATGTGACAACTGAATGCTAGATTGCTAATTTATATGAAGTCCTTCATGTATAGAAATTAATCACTGTATGCCATTCATTCCTACTTTTTTAACTGGTGAACTGATAAATACACTCACTTTTCGAGCCCACAAAACTTTGAGTTCAAAACTAGTTCTGTTCCATATTAAATTTCACTGAAATTTAGGGAGAATGAAGAGATCTGTCTAAAATACTCAATTTGCTGCTGAATGGGAAACAGCTATTTTGGAGTCAATGTGTCTGGTTTTGACCATAAATTCCATTTTAATCCTTAGAAATGTTTTCTGGAGGAGTTTCCTTTAAAAATGGTACAACCCCACATGAAGTTTAACTTCATGAATCACCATCTTCCAGCTTGACAGAAAAGCTGATATCCAAAGACTGCACTACTTGCGAATTAGGAGTCAAACATGAAGTGAAATCTTCTTACGTTTTCGGTGAGAAGTGGCACTTGATCCTCGAGGCAAACAACTTCACTTCAACCTACATGACACATCACATCACATTGCTAACAAGAGCACTGGCAAGGCTCTAAGTTGAAATGCCACTTTCTGTTAAGTTAAAAGTAGGACACATTTTTTTTCATTTCTGAAAGTTCTAACACTTCATATAGTTCCTTTTGCAAATGAAAAATGGCAATGGGTTCTGTACAGAAGTGGTCTGTGAATTACAGAAAAGCAGCTTATGCTGAGTAGTGTGGCACAAGAAGATGCCAAGCATTTCATGAGAAGAGATTGCAGCACAGTCATGCGGAAATTAGAGCCCACAAAATTTAGTTATGCTAAGTCTCATTCTTAACTAGAGAGGAGGATGAATAAAATATAATTACAGTTATATTTTTTATTTTAACAGGGTCAACAAATATGGTGACCTTGTAGATTGTCAAGATACTTACAGAACCTGGGCAGAAAATACAGATAGAAAGAGAACATATGGGGTTTGTTAGTTTTGTTAACTTCGTATGTTTTCCTCAGTATCCTGATCTAGATTACCACTGCCAGGTTTTGAGGGTGATATACAACTGTGTGTATGATTTACCATATAAAATTGCTTAGATTCTTTTTTTATTGTATAGCAATGTCCAAAATAACCTCAATTAGATTTGATTTATAGTACAGTGAATAAAGGGAAATAATCTTAATATACCTTTCCACTGCCTGGCAGTCAGGCAGTAAGCAAAGAGGAGTTTCTCACATCACATGATTCTGAATCTGGAACCAGGAGCCCAGATGAAGCTGGGTCTCCTGCTGGCTTCACCAGTAACTTGTTCTTTCCTTTCCCAAGAAGGGGAAAAGGAAGCTTTGCAAAAGTATTTCAATCAATGCTAGTGGGTTTTATTTATTAGATATTTTAATGAAATTCTGCTGTTTATTTTGGAATTGTGTTCTACGTAAGGCTAGAAGCAACTAAAAGGCTCACCCATAGAGGTAATGGAATGAATGAAGAGAATTTTGGTGTTTCTTCTATAGTTTGATTAATTGCCTTGTTATACCTCTTTTTTTTTTTTTCTGTTTTAATGGCTTTGGCACAATTTCATTTTCAAGAGTTTGAATTAGTGGAAGAAAAAAAATAAGTGATATAAGATGTAGTGAGGAATCTAAGTCTAGCTCACAAAAGCTTTTGCTTATAATAATAAAGTCTGGAGTTGTAATTAGCTTTTTTTTGGAGAGGTTTTTCACTCCAGCTGCACTAGACAATACTCTGACTTGTAGTTAATACATACAGACACATCTACTTATTTTCCTTTGCATCACAGCACATGTACTTTCCTAATTGGATATTTGCCATTTATATGTGGAAAACAAGATTGTATTAGCAAGAGGGAGATTTCAAATGTCTGCAGTGCAAAAACGTCTTAGTTACATTAATGAAGGGAGATGAGATTTAATTTTGAATTTAGTTATTTGGATCATAACCTACTTAGAGCCTCCATACAGCTAGCCATGAGTTACAAATAATCAAAGTCCAATTTAGAACTCAGAATGCCCTTGGAAGACTTCATATTAGGACCACTCATTGGTTTCAGTTAATTGTCGTAGCTCTGTGTATACTTACACAGCAAGAGTATACTTATTCAATAAAGCCACTTATTTTTCTCTTAAGGCTGAAACTGAAATCAAACTGCTGAGATACTTCTGTGCCCCCAGTGTGGAATAGAATAGTGAGGGCATTCTGTTTTATTTATGAAGTTAAACATCGTAGGTAAGAGCAAGATGATTGAATACAGTGTTCTAAAAAATAAATACTCCTTGCTCGATATCCAGCAAGAGTATACTTATTCAATAAAGCCACTTATTTTTCTCTTAAGGCTGAAACTGAAATCAAACTGCTGAGATACTTCTGTGCCCCCAGTGTGGAATAGAATAGTGAGGGCATTCTGTTTTATTTATGAAGTTAAACATCGTAGGTAAGAGCAAGATGATTGAATACAGTGTTCTAAAAAATAAATACTCCTTGCTCTGTTCAAGAACTACAAAATTACCATTAATATCTCAGACTTTCTTGCAAATCAGAGAGACAACTAATTTACTAAAAAGAGTTCCATCAGGCGCTGTATTACTCTTAAATGGATGTATTGCTAATCTTGAGGACTATTTGACACCAACTTTGTGTTGTCTAGCTCGGCCAGCATGGTCTAACTTGCGGTAAAGCATTTGAATGAATTCTGTCTCCTTTGGAAACTCTTGCTACATCCTGAATTTTTCTTGCTACATCTTAAGTAAAAGCAATCATGTGTAGAACCAATTGTAACTCAATTGTCTGAGAAGTCAGAAAAGACTATTAAAAAAATCAAATTGTGCAAAATGCTTCTATGGAACCAACAATATTTAACCAACTGCCTAAATTCTAGAAGACAGGGTTTTTTCAGTTGTTCTTCTTAGGCAAGGATCTTACATGCTTTTCATGTCTTAAGGCTACAAAAATCTAAAATACTTTAAAAAATTTTTCAGGCAGGCTCAGTTTAAGACTTCAGTTTCCTGAAGTCCCTTATTTCAGTGTCTCTCTTTCCGTTTAGTGCATGACAAGTGCTTGTAGTAATTCAGGTGTTATAGAGGATGGAGGGAGGTACCTAACATTTTCTATGTTAATAATTACAGACAGAAAAGGATTGTGTATTTTGGAGACTCTGTGCCTGCCAACATAGGGAACTGAATGAATAGGTTTTGAGTACTCAAAAGTAATGCTTTTCTCGACAGACTACTTGAATCAGACAAACAGACTCTGAAGACTTTCTGACACAGGCTGTTTGCTATAGCTTGCGTGAATCTGAGCTGAATGAGTTCTCAACCAGAATGACTTGAAAAGAGTTGATAGAAGTGTTGCCAAATGAAATGAAATGAACAATTCTCTTAGTTCTATAAAATCAAGGTGGTCATCAATGAACACAGTAACTAATATGTTAATGATTTAATTATTAGAGATGGTAGGAACAGTGGGACACTATATTAAAAACAGCAAAGTTTGATCATCTCTATTCCAATCTTGCATTTTATAGTTCTTATCATGAATTTGGGAGTTCAGTATCTTCTCTTATGTAATCATCTGGAAGTGACACTGTTGAATTCTCAAATCTACTGGTTCAACAATCTATATGATCTCCATAAGTTTAAATAAAATCTCCAGCTGGTACAGCTAACCTTCAACCCTGTTTTGCAGTGAACTTAACCAGGTTGTCCCACAAGGATCTCATTCACTTCCATAAAGTAAACCAGAACCCTTTTCTTCCTCCCATGCCTGTTCCATTGTCAAATACGGTAGTCCTGATCCTCTATATAGATTTTGTCAACTGAAACAACACAGCAGGTAAATAAATTTTCCAGACAATGCAAAGTGATATTTTAAGCATCATCGGTAGCTTCTTCAATACTTTTGATTTAGGTGTTGGTGTGAAAATCCTTATGTCATGAGATCCACTTAGCTTTTTTTGCTTACTTTTGTCTAACTTACTTCAGCCTGTGAGCTGGCTGGTTATTATGGTGGCACTAAAGAAAGGATACATTTCAACAGAGTTCAGGAAAAGTTGGATGGTGTAATTTAATCTCCTTTATCAGCCTCCACAGAATAAATTTTGTCTTTTCTCATCAGTGAAATCTATAATGTCTTGTTACACAGCTCTGACTCTGGCTTCACAGCTTTGAAGATAAACTAGTCCCTCTTCCTGGTCCAGTTGTAGGGACTTTTGATGAGAAATCCAATCTTAAGTCCCAAAATAAAATGTGAGTTGAGATTCAGCAATGTGATTTAAAAATGACATGACCACAGACGGTGTACAAATTAAAAAGCATGTTTTCCCTGCTTCATTACCCTAAAAAGATGTTTCTCTCCCAAATCTTTGTATTTACTTCCCCATCTTCTTGTTCTAGCAGGTAAAATCACTTCACTCTCCAAAGTACTTCGAAATGAAGTAATCTAATTTTATTAGGTGGCTTAAATACCTGGAAATACTTAAATACCTGCTTTTATTTGAGGCTTCTATGATTCTTTCTAAGTCTGAAATCAGTTCTATGAAGCTCTCATAATAAGTCACTTAGTGAATATTTGCTCCTACCAGGGATCCTTTAATAAATACAGAAAATACCTGTTAAGATCAGTGTTACAGCACAATGGGTCAATCACCCTTATGAAGAATTAAATGGAAAATAAGTATTTGAATAAGAAATGTTATTAACTGAAATTTGAATTTTTATTAAAGAGGAGAGAGAGAAATTAGATGATCTTTCAGCATCACTGAGACAGATTAGTGCTGGTCTGCTGAAGAAAACGCTTACTCACCGTTTGTTTTGAAGAGAGACTTTGTAGATTTTGCTAATCTCAGTGAAAGGTAGAGTTACCACCTCTGGAAGGCAAAGGTGCCCAACTTCCATTTGCCTCGCAGCAAACTTCTGCATTTGTTTTTAAGCAATCTGGAAGTAATTTGAGGATGAAAATAATGAGTATTCTCATGAAAAAGTCTGTCTTAATGTTTCTTTTCACTGCCATGTTTAGGAATTGTGTTCTTGATTTATCAAGATAGGTATTATGATAGGTAATAATGGGAATGGCACTGTATGAGGGAGACATTGTCTGCTTGTCATTCTTAGAGTAGGATAAAATGTGAGGCTTTTCTGAGGCTATTGGAACTAAGTTTTCAGAACATTAAATGTTTTGACTTTTAACTAAAAGGTTGAGTTCTACAGTGCCACCATCTTTTAAAGATTAAATCCACATGGCACTGTATGGAATACAATATCCATTGTTCATACTTCTTGAATGACTTGGAATCATGTGTTAACATGATGAAACCAGATGGGATGTTCAAACACTAAACTCCATTCAATGCTAGCCAGATGTCTTTCCTGGAGGATGGGGGAGGGATCCTCCAAATAGGAATTTCAGAAAAGATATTGACTGTCAAATTTTGAGCAATTGAGTCAAGTGATAAATATGCTCTATTGGTTATTCAGTAATTGCTTATCTGCTTTTAGGTAAGCTTGGTCTGATCTCATCTTAATTCCTGGTTTAGGATGTGGATGTATCATCTGATCCAAAATGTGGGTGGTTGTTTTGTTTAGGTTTTTTTCCCCAACTTAAACAAGTAAGGAAACATAAAATTAACTTGGCAAATACACTGGGAGATACACAGTTTGCTTTTGTGGCTCAACTAGCACTTTACAAGGGAAAAAAATGGAAAAAGAGGGCAGTAGAGGACAAAGTAGGTAAGTCAAAAGCAAACTGCAGAAATGTAGCACTAAATTAAAAAAAAAAAGGTTGCCAAGTGGCTAGCAGACACTCAGAAAGGTTGTATCTCTAAATTAGATTAACAAATTTTTTCTATAATGAGCCAGCTATACTTGTAGCAAAATTGCAGAAAATGCGTGGCTATCTTCTTGTGTCTTAAAAAACCAAACCAAAACAAAACCTCTTCAACTATGCTACCTTTGACTCTTACACAAATTCCACTGCAGTGGGCTTGCAACAGTGTGGAGAGACTGTAAATATGTTTAGACAGCTGGTACAGTCTGAGGCCTTATTAAGGAAATGGAAAACAATACAGAAAGTCTTCATTCAGAAATATTCTCATATACAGTAGAAAGCCCAATATCTTTCAATGCAGAATGCCTTTTTCAGTGAATCTTATTGCTTGTCATGAAATAAAGTATGAGTTTTCAAACAGAACAAATGAGAAGTAGGTCTCCCCCACATTTCTCTTTCACGCTATGTTAACCTCACTTATTTTACATTTGTGCGGTAGAAGAAATGCCAGCCAAGCTAAGTTTCTAAATTAAAAAATACTGGATGACAAATCTTTGGCAAGGAGGGATGCACAATTCTAGTCTTCACTATGCTTGCCACCTCTTGTTTTAGAGAGCTAAGGAAAAAAGGAGCAGGAAGCTCATTAAGATCTTGTAGCCAAAGGCCACAACTCCCTGTCCCATAAAAGTCTCAAATTTTCTTGACTGTGCTCTCCCTTTGCAATGTCCAAAACATGCAGTCAATCCCGAGGGCATCCAGCAGGAAATAATTGCTGTCTGTTCTGTGTAAATCCCAAAGAAGGGAAGAGAAAGATAGGACACAAGCACTGCATAGTGTGTTGCCCAGCAGAGGGGCTTTGGAGGAGAACAGACTAGAGAGCTAAGTCTTAATGCAGTAAAAAGTTTGCGAATTCAGCCAAGTCCCTCTGGTGATTTCAGTAGCCTTGATGTTCTCCTAATCTGTGTGCAAGGCATAAGAGATCTACCAGAGATCTTCATGTGTTGGAAACGCACAATGGAGTCCTAACCCATTCAAGCCTGCTGGGATCACGTTAAATGTGATCCCCTGTGATAGTTGCTACAAAACGACCTGCGTGGGTACAGGTGTGTTATTGTGTCCCTTGTGCAACCAATTCAGTTATGTGACCATGAAATATGTTCATGAACTTGATGCACATTCAGTGTTAGTCCCCATTTCCTTTGACCTATTTCTTTCTTACAGTTCAGGATTTTTTCAGTTGTACAAATCTAAACCAGTATTTCAGCAAAAAAGTCGCTAATTCCTCTTTGAAAAGGACATGAACTTTATCGGTTTTTTATGTAAGTCAGGTTTCGTTTCCTCCATTAACGCGATCAACAGTTTCTATTTATTTATTTATTATGGAAAAGATCTTATTTTATCAAATTTTGTTACTGACCCTGAAAAATTCAGCTTGAATACTGGTACTGATAGAATAGTCATGATGAATGACTCTCTAAATGATGTTATATAAACTTTATTCCATGAAATATGCATATAAAACTGGCAGAGGATATTGGTTAGAGGAATCTTTTTTCCTCTTTTTTTTTTTTAGCAATGTGTTTTGTAGAATTGAAATGTGGATTTAACCATAAAATAAAGCAATAAAATTTAATAATAATAAACAAATAAAAAAGGAAAACACATGTCACCAACAAGGTGAGGAAAGAAGAAGCTTAGATTTAGAAACAAGATATCAGATGAATCCCAGAGATTGAAATAACAATGTCCCATATTTTGATTTACTGAAATTTCAGGAGACAATGCTTGCTTTACCATACTATATTGCTTGTCTGTAATTTTGCAATTAGGAAAATTATGAAAGAGATATTAAACAGTTTGCCAAATAAGAATTTGAGGTTTTCACTAATAATTTAGATGTAGATTTGAAGTCTTAATCTTTCCTTTGTCAATTTAATAAAAATATTTATGTATCTTTGAAAATGAACTGCCTCACAAAAAGGCACTATTTTACTTGCGTTTATGCTTTTAAGTAAAATAAAAGACCCTCATCCTACCTGGAGTAACTTTTCATATTTATGTCAACTAGTTTGGATTTTTACACCTTACGCACTCTTTGCAGAGGGATACAGAGATTGCGGACAGAGTGGCTTAAAGAAGCGGGTTGGATGGAGGTAGAAGAGATGACTTAGAAGCAGGTGACCAACAAATGGATTTCACAAGGGGAATCTATCTCTAGTTTTAGAATTTTGTGATCTAATGCTCTGGAGCACACCTGAGCTCTGATCCTGACGGTGCACAGGATCTGGAAGGAAAGATTTCTTCTCTGCTATGCGTATGATGTATTAGGGAGTCATTTACTGGAAGAAAACTGATTTTTAAGTGTTACGCAAGACTGAAGTATTATATAAGAATTACAGAAGGAGACACCTGGTGTTTCTTTTGGGTTTTGTTATGGCTTGTTTCAACTGACATAGAAGGAACTTTGAAACCAAGCACAAATCAGGGATGGTTTGCTTTAATTTCCTTTCTTCAGATAAAATGTGTAGTGAAGGCATTAGGACTGATTGTAAGTTAGAGAATAACGGAAATATGCATTCACAGAAAAAGCAAGTTCAATCGACAATTTCCTGGATTTTAGGTGCAGTTATTGCATGTAGAAGGAGCTGATAGTTCATAAGGGTAAATGAATGAAGACACAAGGATAGTGTTTTGCTTCTAATAAGCTATATTTTTTTTTTTTGTGCAGATGTTGGTATGGTGTGTAACAACTGTAACAAATCATTTTAGATTTTACCGAGAATAAGCTTTATATGAGTCTTCTCTGAAAGACAAGATTTTGATGTTCCAAAATAGCAGAAGACTAAATGAATTTATATTTTTGGTTACCTATTTTTTTCTCTACTTAGATTAGAAAGTTGAATTCTTTCAGTTTTATTCAATTTTATACTTGCAAATCGTTGTCAAATCAGTTGTTTACAAACATGACAAAAACTTAATCTCAGACTGCAGTTATGAAAAATATTCATAGTAGCCACCTAGAGCAGGACAAATGAAACCATGTTTTCCAGACGAAGGATTCTGAAGTTAGCTCTAAGTGTAAGTACCCAATGGCTGCTTCCATTCATACACAGCAACCTCAAAAGTGATGATCTTGATGAGATAGTAGGAGAAAACAGTGTGAAAGATTACTTAATTCTGTTTGTTTCAAGTCCGACTCTTCAGTGCTATATATTTCCTTCACAGAAACAATGTCTGTTTTCAGTCTACAGAAGCAGTTGAATTCTCAGCTGTGCGAAAAATACAATTATGACAAGTACACTTGACCTTCAGTGAAATTAAGGAGAGTACCACCTGCACTAAATATGTCTTGTAAACAGTGTCAGGAGCAAAGGGATACAGTCTGGCTAGAAATCAAATCCAGTTGCATAGCTTACTACAATAAAAACATTTCAGGTTGCTTTAAAGTTTTGACTTCTAATTGTACCCTTCTCTTAAACAAGGAGTGTTGTTGAGTTGTTAGCAGCTGCACTGTGAACAGGAGCACTGTTTGTACTGAGATAGAGCTGCCCAGCTCTAGCAATAGGCTGTCACGCAATAAACAACTTTTCATATTTTTTTTTCTTTATTCTCTTGTAGCACAAATGTTACAAATAAAATCAAAGAACGTAACAAAACTGTTTCAGGTCACTTCCCAGAATGTTTTGATCCCTTGACCTGTGCCTATCCCTAGAATAAACTAGTGTAGTAAGATGCATGAAGTAAAAGGTATTTTTGTTTTAAAGAAAAAACTCCTCCAAAACCAGACCCCCTAAAACTATCTAGATAATGAAAATGGCTTAAATTAATTTATCTATAGATGTCATAGGGAAACTTCAAAATATTCTTTTAGAAAGATGCAATATAATGCAGGCTGCTTGTCATAACTGACAGACAATCCAGTAATATAAATGTTTTACTCCAGATCCAAGCATATCTCTGTCAGGGAAATTCTCGAAATGTAAACCCACAGCAGACCTCTTTTTATGCAAGTCTCACCGTGAAGTAATACTGTAGCCAGAAGAGGTGTTACCCTGGGTTATTTTGGCTAGACTGTTCTGACTGGTAAGGTTCTCCATAAAGACTACCTGCTGCTATTCACCTCTTTTAAACCAATCTTTTTCCTCTTTTCCTTTAACATAATGAGTATTTT